AAAAAAGAAGTTTTTCAAGTTTTTTCTTCAGACGGCACGTCAGCCCCGTCTTCTCAGGGACGTCGGTCATTCTGGTTCACCCTATCGCCATTTCGATGTCTGTGCAACATAGGTTATTAGTTAATGTAAAAAATACTTTAATTTTATTTAAAAAATAAGAATAAAAAGAAAATATATGGAATAGTATTCTTAAAATTAGAAAGATGGTTAACTTTTCAGTTGAAAGCAAAGAGCGGCTGTATGAAACTTAGAAAACTAAAACCATATTTTCAGACAAGATTGTTTACAGTGAAAATAGATTGATGTGTTCTCCAATGTGGTAAGCTCATCACCATTTCTTCTAGCAACCTAAAACTATACACTTCCCACTCAGAAACTACATCAGAAAATCTAAACTCGTCAAACGACATTTTCGAGCACTTGCCACTTATATCTCCAAAAATTGACTCGGCGAGTCGACGATCCTTCACAAGCAAAACTTTCATGCAATTCATTTTCTTTCGCTGCAATTCAGACAAAGGTACTATGTCAGTAGATGCTTTCTTTAGATCATCTGCCTTCCAATGGTGAAACTGCACCACCTGAAGTGCATGGAGTACGTTGACAAATTCCCGTTCGAGCAACTCATCTCCACACACCAAATATAACGGCTCCTCCAATAATTTCAAAAAGTTGGATGAATTTTGCTGCGTCGATAAATGAAATTCTTCACCGGAGGGTAAGATATTGAATCCAAGAACATGTAATCTTGCAGAGCATATATCGAACCCCGACTCGAATTTTGAGGCTTCTTCGGGAGGAAACCAGTACATGTTATATGATGCCAGCACAGGAAAGAAAGATTCCATCGAGTGTATAGGGGTGTTCAGGGAATAATCGGAGAGAGATGTTAGAAGTTTAGCATCCTCGTCGTGTGATGAATTACGGGTGAACCACAATGTAAGGGTACTTCTTTCTCCTTTAAGGATCTGCCAAAAATAAATGTCCTTTTGTGTTAACGAATTAAAACATAAAACAAACTTTTTATTAAACAACGTATCAAGTGTTCATTCTTCCAGCAACCATTTTCAACCGAAACTAACTACGACCAGATTTGACATGAATATCAGTAGTAATTAGTAAATTATTTGAGAGAGAGAGAGAGAGAGAGAGAGAGAGAGAGAGAGAGAGAGAGAGAGAGAGAGAGAGAGAGAGAGAGAGAGAGAGAGAGAGAGAGAGAGAGAGAGAGCGGGGGGGCTACCTCGCTAACCGAATGAATATTTCTGTCGTCTGCCGTGTATATTATAACATCCTGAAAATGTGCAACATGGATAAGTTGGAGAGAGTGAAAAAAGGCAGTGGAAATAGCACAATTTTTTTTTTAACAAGGGGTGTCCATCATTGACACAGAAAGTTAATATGGCAATCGGTATCTTCACGCCTCGTCACTTTTTTTTTTGCAAAACATGGACCCTAATCATATATGTGTGTGTATCGTAAAAGACATTGTATATGATGAATTGACACTCGCATTCGACCGTAGCAAAAAGAATGATAGATCCTATTTGCAGGATAACTTATATCTAGGTGATCAGAAATAGTGAAATATGCAATTGAGCACGGAACACAAACATTGCAATTTGCATCACCAAAAGTCTATTTTAAACTTATAAGAATGTTTTAGACTTCAAGATTAAAATGATTTTGTAATACGAATAAGTTAAAAACGAGTAACTCTTACATCAAAGTTTAACATCATCTAACATTAGAAAAATCGCATACCGAATTTTCGAAACCACATCCTCACAAAGTTACAAACTAACAGCTGACTATTTCCAAACGTTATGGAAAATTGTGAATATAACCATCCATTGGTTGTAAATTGGTAATAACAGATTCAACCTCATAATTTACTTATTCAGTAAGGATAAACAATCATCTGCAATAGGGCCAACTAAACAAAAATTATAATTAGATTATCAGATCAAAAAGCCCACAAAAGTTAAACTGCAGGTATACATTGATTCTGTTTATACAGTGGAATTTGTGTCAGCAAGAAAGTAACATTCGAAATAACAAGAAAAAAAGGGAGACAGTTTATTTGAAAAATAACTTACACCAGCCATGGGTGCAATGGTCAAGGGTTCCCCATCCTTGAAATGAAACAGACCTCCATTGAAATCCACCTCGTAACTGTTTAAGTAGCAAACTGCCTTCGACCAGGCAGACAAAAGAGACAACTATTAGCTAGCGTTCAAGTTCACCTGATCGTAAAATGCAACAAATAATCAAATTTCATTCTCTAACATTGTAAAACCAAATAAATTAGTATGGTAAGGGATACCCCAGCCTCAATATGAATCACCCGTTTAAATACAAGTATTACATTCTTATATTGTTATACAATTTTCTTATCCTCAATGTAACATATCGATTGAAATTATTAACATGACGTGGCATCTGAACTGCATCTCTACTTGTCATATTCCCGAACTCGACATAACTTTTCAAGGACTCGTATAACTAAATTATGAAAATAAACTATGTGAACATGAAGTGAAAAACATACCTATATATGCGTGTGTGTACAGTATAAGGAGAAAAATGCACTCAAAAACCACGAAACAGAAGACATATATATGAACGACAAAATTAGGATAAATAATATTTTAACGTGCAAAGTAAATACCGCAAAATCCCGTTGTTTGAGATAATCTCTGTTATCGTCACTGTGCCATCCAATGCTAGCTCCCCTGCACCAGCTGATATGCAGATAGCACATCCGGACATGTTAGTCGGGATCGGGTTTTTAAGTCGTATAAACGTCAAATCAGGTTGCAAAATCATAGGATTTGAAATATCGTATGATAAACAAACATCATCATGTTAATTGAATGGAATAAAAGGAGCTCTGAAAATGACTGGGACCAACAATCAAGAACTCAAAGTAAATAGTTTCCCAAGGATGCTTCACCATCATCGAAACGAAACGAAAACAAAATTACCCTCCTCGAAATCGAATAGTTTCCGAGGATTTATTTCATCATTAAATATATACCTGATGAGTCCGGTGAACTCCACAAACAATTCGTACTCGCATCCGAAATGTTCCTCAACTTTCTCCTTCAACCTCTCTAGAAATCAACCAATTAATTAATTAGTAAAGGAAATTGATAAAATTAGTAAAAATTAAAATATAAAATTTTGGGGTTAAGAAAAAAAGAAGAAGAAGAAGAAGATGAGAAGAACCTCGGATGGGGATAATGGGCAAGATGAGATGGGCAGAGTTGGCGGCAATAAGATGAGAGAGAGTGGTGGAGAATACATTGGGTCTGTACCCAACTGTGCTACAGCTTTTGTGTATGAACTCCATTTCCTGTATTTATTTAAATATTCATCAAATGCATATGCATATACATATACATACATATATAGATACAGTAAATGAATGGAGAAACCTTGCAGATTTCGGGTGAAAGGAAATTCCGAAGGATGAGACGCGGGTGCTCCATTTTCTTCTGCTTGAGCACCAAAATATGAAATTTTTAAACCATCGCCACTTTCAATTTCTCAACCCAAAAACACAAAGGGCCCCACTATTTGCAATACACTCTCGAGGAAAGCCAAATCGATGATTCCATCTCAAAATCCCGCTTGAAATTACTATTTTACCCCTACGAAATTACTATTTTTTATTTGATTGACGTTTTTTCAGGGGAAAAAGAAAAAAAAAAACGCGCGGCTCGGATCGATATGTACAAGTTGAATTTTGTGCAAAAATTCAAACATTAGGTTGTCGAAAATTACATGAAAAATCGGCATTGAAAATTACACAAAAGGTCGACAACGGTATGTTGATAGATCCACTGGAGATTTTTTTTTTGATTTATATAATTATTCACTGTTGAATTTTGGCAAAAACACGACACACTATTATCCACAATGAGCAGAAAAAATTGACATGTAGATGTCCATTTTTACCTGGACAAATTTAAAAAATATTTTTCAATCTTTCTTGGGGATGATTGTAACGACCGCATCTAGTGGAGTTAATAATATGGAACTAGCGGTGAATTATGCAAATAAACTTACCAACTACAATATATTTGCAACCATAGAAGATTTAATCACATGGGTGTGCAAAGTGAGTTGGTGACTATGAATGATAATAGGGAGCGGCTAAAACAAATACCCTTTTTTTCTAACTTCAATACCACCAATATAAAAAAATAAAATAAATAGATAATAAATAGGTAATGACATTATTACCATTAACGAAAATCAATACTAACACACAAAATTTGTGTGGTATTGATTTTATTAAGGGTATTAACGTCATTACCTTTTTATTTTCTATTTTTTCTATTGGTGGTATTGAAGTGAGAAAGAAGCGGTATTTATTTTAGGTAAGTGTTGAGATACGAGTCCCATGAGCCAATGATAAACTCGAGTGATATTCGTGTTTTGCCGATTAAAATTTTATTAGCAAGCATAGATTAGATTCATGTAAAGCATAATTAAATCTAATCTAATTAATTTGGGATTCAGAAGAACATGGTAGGGACAATCCACTCCCAATTCTATAGTAAGAATTTCAAACAATCCTTTAACTACCTTTGATCTTCTATTGTATATACATGACTAAAAATATGGGCCCTGGAGGCGAGTGATTTCGCCTTTAGGTGCAAGGACTATAAATATGGGCTTATATAAAAAAAATACTAACTCTGTAAATAACAAAAATAAAGGGAAAAAAATCAGAATATTTTTTTCTAGAATTCAAAAATCGCAAAGCTTAGAAACGCGCAACTGATGTTTCTTTTCTATGAAACCCAATATTTAAGAGTCTAAAAGGAATTATAGTAGGAAATGATTGAAGAAACAAATCTTTGTCATACTCTTACATAGTAGCGAAAGTTTGAGATCGAAAGAAACCAATTTTTGTTCAACTCTCTTTTATCTTATCTCTTGATATAAGAATCTAGCTACAAAGTGTTGGAGTAGGAGATGAGTTAAGAAAAAAAATACTTCATATCTACTATAGGGACCAATTTTTGCACTTAAAAATAAGTCAAAATTCATTCAACTTTCTTTCATCTTATCCTCTTGGTTTAGTTCTATTTTCTTAATTAATCGGAAAATTGAATTGGGCTATAATATAGATCAAATGAGAAAATATAATCCAGACAACTAAAAATCAATTAAATCCAAATTAAAAAAAAATCATTTAATTAGTCATTAAATAACTATTTATTTTCCATTATCAAATAATTATTGAACTCCAATTCAAATTCTCAAATATTATATTTGACCACAGGTTCATCATTACTTAGATTCTCCTAACATTAAGATATTCCAATACCCACCAAATTGTTTATTCACTCCTAAATAAATTAAAGGATATATTTTCTCAAGACTTACCCACTTAACTTATTTGAGCGTTCCGCACACAAAATCCACTTGGCCAAGTTTTAGGCCTAAATAAAATCCATAACCTGCTCAATGGTTATGCATCAATCTCATATTTCAGAGATGTGAATTCCTTTTGATAATTATTTTTTACCTATTATTTCTTAGTGTATCAACCCAATGTAGGAGTTCACTTGAAATATGTACTTCAATTATCTAGGGATTAAGAGAGTGTTTAGTATACCATAAACTAGAAATAATGCAGTTTCATAAACAATGATGAAACAATTATTTCACTTTTTTCAATCCTACACATGCGAGTGTGCTAACACAATATGTTAAAATAATAACTACAAAATAATATTCTATGTTTACTGTTATCAAGACTAATCACTTAAATATTGTGCTACAATCTTTTTCGATGGTTAGTCCAGTTCCATCTAGATTGTGAGCAATTAATTTTTATATTCTAAAAGAACTTTCGAAATGATTTTCTGTGTGTTATATCCAGATCATCACATCATTTGAATACTATTAGAATATTGGACTCGTGTAAGTAATTAATTTGCAACAATCAATATTTGTTAAAAGCATTTAAACAACCACATGCACATTCTCATAAATGACTAAAATAAATAAACTTTATTAATAGTAATCTTATTTAGATAGATAAAAGCGAAATTTTTTATACCAATCCATATAAAAGTGATCTTCCCATCGCTCAAAACACCGGTCGTTGAACAGAGTAAATATGGACTGAGCAAATATTAAAATATTTGAAGTCATAAAGTGAAAGTCTCAACCAAACTGAGTTTGTGTTCCGTGGTTTTATACTAATTGTCTCTGGAAATCAGAGCCTGCAAGGACTTATATCTAGCTCCCCAAAATATGCTATAACCACATCCATAAATTACATAGCCAATTCATCAGATATAACTGGAGTGACTAAGTATGCAAGTGTAATAACATTCATCAGAGAATATATCTTTCTAAAGTTAACCACATGATGCTGAGTACATCCGTGTGCTATGAGATGGTGTCTTCTAGCTCACAATCTCATTTTTCTCATAAATTCTCGTGCCATGAGATAGCTCCATTCTCATTTTTCTCATGTATAATTTCTTTGGAAGAACCTCAGTTATATCGCATGGGTAAATTTCTAGGATGCGCAGGAACATCAACCTAAACAGTGTTCTTTTGCTCAACGAATCAAACTCAACCTGGATTGATTGTTCTTATTTTGGTCCATCGTCCATTTATTTACATTTATCAATTGATCGAGGTTTTATCTCATCACTCGGTAAAAGTTCAGTAACTATTGTGCAAGAAAATATTTCATCGATGATCATTTCATCCCAATATTACATCTCATTCATGTATGAATAACTATCCGACATTTTTCCAATGCGTTACTCAACTTTGTCATCAGGATGGATCCGCAATCCAAAATTTTCATGAAATAGAGCGGATGGAATCTTATTAGCACTAGTGCTAATCAAATTCAATTGTTAGTATACACCCACTTCCGTGGATGAGAATCATTTAATCTAATTAATCTCCCATATTTTGGGCAGGAAGACAAAATCGATTAGTAGGGATTGAGGTCCTACCCATAATTTGTGCTTCTCGGAAATCTGATTTTCTACTATTTGCAGATTTTTTTGTTCGTCCCACACAACTTCATGTTGTTCTTCTTATGTGGACGTTTTATGCAAATCTATTAGTTCTCTTGCACGATTTTGCACATTTCTTCAGAAATGTTAGTGTGGACATTCCTTGCATGGATTTATTTCCAATTTCCTTTTGGAGAGGGAGGTTTTGTGAGACACGATCGTCCCACACGAGTTCATGCCATTCTACAGGAATGTTAGTGTGGACGAGAAGAGGTCATTGTGAGACACAAGTGTTTGTCCCACACGACTTCACGTCATTCTTAAAAAACGTTAATATGGATGTTTGGGCCGTTCCAAATGACTCCGACTTGCCAATTGAATTTTAGATATGACAGTTCGCAATGATTTTTTCATTTTTCACAACAATCAACAAAATTTAAGTTTAAACTATTTTGGATATTAGTATGTATCTCCATAAGAATGTCTTCAGCCAAGGGCAACTATACATTACACCGTCTATAATTAAGAATACATGTATCGTTAAGATATTTCATCAAGTTGAAACCGGGTGAACTATCCAATGTTACTTGCAATAGTGTGTACAAGGAAGTATTTCATCAAATATGAAGGTACATACCATTAATATTTTTATTAGTATTTGATTTAACATATCTTGGCTATTTATGTGCACACAAATTATGCATCGACAAATTTATTTTCGCTATATGATTTTGCTTAATAGTGCATTTTGCAAATTTTATTTAGAAGGTACATTACGACACATCTTCCTTAGTTAATTTTTTTTAACTATTATGATGGAAATGAAAATGTGCAAGTTACTTTCAATTTATGGTCGATGTTTAAGAAATTTTACGGTTTGCTTTAGAAAGTATTATTTGAAATCATAATATATATGTGATTGAAATGATCGCTTAAAGTTATTTTTTTGAACATTGTGCGTCGATTATGTTTTGTATTTTTTCTGTTTCATAAACATTACAACATGGTCGACAACAAGAGTTCATATATTCTTTTTTTAGTCGATCATATAATAATTCATCTCCATTTGAAAAGGGAATCATGTGCATCGCACGAATGAAAACTAGGCTTATATAAATTTCAATATAGCGATATAAGGACATTTATGATATTTTATGAAAGTAATTTAAAATTTATAGCTTATTTTTCAAACACATAAGTTTGTAAAGTTATTACTTAATCTTAATTTCAATAACATTTGCAAACACCCTCGATTTTTAGAAACAAATAGTTAATTCAGACGTCACTCATAGTCATCAACTGCTACTTCTCAAAAGAATTTCCAAACACCAACACAATCTTATAACATCTTACGTTATAATTGATTTAATCATTTGCAATTTACTGCTATATTAATTTCCGCCTATGATAATTTTTCCTCATTTAACTTTCTACTTTCAATATACACTTTCCATTATTTTTGAAGAGACTGATAATTATAATCGGTAAATAATGTAAATTATTGTTGTTTGCATGAAGACATAAATTAAATGTGTTTTGTATTTAATGATTATGAAATTCTTCAATATTTCTATTGTTCATCAATATTAGTTCATCTTATCTTTATTGTTTTAGAAACAAGTTCATCTTATCTACATACAAAGGTCAAATATAAACTTTGCATTGTAGATCATATATTCCAGTTTCAATAAATGTATGGAGAAGTAATTAAATATTTATTTCCAATATTTAGTAGTAATAAATGCCATGAAAGAAACTCAACTTAGTATATAAATAAGAGCTTTCTTTCCACCATAGTCATCATCCTTAAACACTAATTCACTTTGTGCTTTGTTTATCTTTCCATTTCTCATCAAGATGAAAAACTCCAATCATTTCGCCATGACTGCCGTCTTTATGCTAATGCTGCTTCTCATCAACGTTTCTGCTCAGTCAAGTAATAATTGATCATATATATATATATATATATATATATATATATATATATATATATATATATATATATATATATATATATATATATATATATATATATATATGTAATTTTTTAATATAATTGAATAAGCTAATCGGTCTTATTGGATATTAATTAACATTCTTGATATATGTTCTTACATGTTAATTAGATGTGGATGGAGAAATTGCTGACTATTTAAAGATTGAAGAAAAAAAAAGGTGCAATTATGAGAGCAAAAAGTTCTGGGGAATATGTTTAAGTGACAGCAAATGTGGAGAGGTTTGCACCAAAGAGGGATTCGAAGGCGGTGATTGTAAAGGTCTGCGTCGTCGATGCTATTGCTTCAACAATTGCTGATTCACAATCAACAGGATTGCTTTACATAAATACTTCACCTGCAACATTGTATTCACTTATGATATATATGTAATGTTTTATAAATAAAGTTGAAGATTTGAAATATTTCTGAGCAATTAGACATTTTAAATCTGAAGGTGAGCATTGATACATAAAAAGAAGTAGTGTTCATTGTTTTTTTACGTACTAAATAGACACACATAAAGAACAAAGTGAATTAATTTGAAAATAAATAAAAGGTATATATCGAATCCAACACTTATACCACTTTCATTGATCAATCGGCACTCTTAAGTCCAACGTCGACACGGACCAGAAACAATTCATGTGGATTTCTTTCAGAAGTAATGTTCAAATTTCGCTTCGGATTTCAAAATTTTTGTAATGTATAAGTATATTCTTATTGCAAAAGTTTAAATTACGGCCTTTTGAAATCATAAAACTTTTGAAAATATTGAAACGTGTCAGAACTAGAAAGATGAACGTGCGTACACATGTCTTGTTAATTTTATTTATTTATTTCTCGTATATATATTTCCGTTCCTATATTTATCCTAAAATTATATTATAAATTTAAAACATTTAATAAATATCTATATTTAAATTTCAACTCCTACTCCTATAAATATCATTGAATTCTACCTTGTAAGTTGGAAGATTTTGCGGTGGATTCCTGTTATAACTCCTATATATAACAATAGTTTTGTTGGCTAATAATATACATCCATCATAATTTCATATTAAATTTCCGCCGCTACTGCAAATTCGATTACACAACCCATATAATAATACCCTAAAAAAAACTTCCTTACCCATCATTCCGAAAAACATTTTTTTTCACAAAATGGGGCTCAAAGAATTGTTCAATCGGAAGAAAAAACAGCGCCTCGGCCTAGGGGTTCCATCTCCCAATCAACCGACACCCATAAACTCTAGATCGCCATCTCTAAACTCATCATCACGGGCACAGATCGAGGAGGAGCTGGAGCAGGTTTTCAAGAAATTCGACGTCAATGGCGACGGAAAGATCTCTGCCGCGGAGTTGGGGTCGATCATGGGCAGCCTGGGCCACCCCGCCACGGAGGAGGAGCTCCAAACAATGATCCGAGAGGTGGATGCCGATGGCGACGGTTTTATTGATTTGAAGGAATTCGTGGAATTGAACACAAAAGACATAGATTACGACGAGGTGTTGGAAAATCTGAAAGATGCGTTTGAGGTGTTTGATATTGACAAGAATGGGGCAATTTCTGCGGAGGAGTTGCAGGATGTACTGCAGAGCCTGGGAGAGGAATGCACATTAGCTGAGTGCAGGAAGATGATAAGTGGTGTGGATTCCGACGGAAATGGGACTATCAGTTTTGATGAGTTTAAAGTTATGATGATGATGGGCTCGCGTTTTGATTCTAAGGAAACCCAAGCCTGATTCTAAGGAAACCTAAGCCTGATTCATTTTTGAACGAAAAGAAAAAGTAAAAGAAAATAAATTCTTTTCCTCGCTTGACACACAAGAATGACATTAGGGATTTACTATATCATTTAGTAAATCATTTTCTTTTCTTTTTTTGTGTGTCGTTTGTAAGGTTCTTAATTTAATTGTAATGTTCTTCACTTAATTTTGTTTAAGTAAGATCTTAATTTTTTTCCCACGTATACATGTATTATGATAAGGATATATAATCACAATCATCCATACCTCACCTATATTGTGAAATCTGAGGGGAATAATGAACGATGGTTTTAAAATTCCTCAACCTTCTAAATTAAAAGTTTTAACCATTCATTACAATCAGATATTAAACTAGGGCCGGACCCAATGAGGGACTGCTATGTGGGTGCTTATTATCAAACGAGTGTTAGAAAATGCTAAGGATGTTTTAATTCTTTTTATTCTTGGATAACTTACAAATGAATGGGTTACCCATATTATACTACTCCACCTACTCAATAAATGGTGATGATCATCTTGATCTAACAACTTACATTCAATGATTTTACACTAATATATACAAAATAAGATTTTAGAAGATATTCTAAAATCCTCTGAGGATTTCTACATATCTATAATTGGGCCATCTTTCGTTGAGTTTGCTTGTTGGATGAATTAACTTAGCCCCTTGGATCCATGGAAAATGGGCGGTCTGTGACAACACATAAACTAAGCCGGGGCTTGATCCAGCGGAAACCTTGTCGACACTCAACTGCTAAGTTGCCTAGATAAGTAGGTAGGTGTATGTAGAATAATAACAGTTCTAGGAATTCAAGCAATGAGAAATAGGATGTACCGTAGAAATATGAGCTAGATGGGTTATTTGTAGTTTAATTAGTAGAAACTTTATCACTGAGTAACTCTAAGTGGGATGAGGAACCCCAATGGATTTACACTATTACATTAATGGGATTTACACGTTAACTTAATTATTTACAGATGAATAACGTTTTAGGCCCTCTTTGGTGGCCCAATATGGAGAGTAATTGGTGGGTTTAATGGAGCGGTCCAAACATGTATATCATTATAAGACCCCACTTTCGATCGAGGTTCGCGTAGCGAAAGTTAATCGAGAGTAGATTTTTGTATCGACATTGAGAACACATTTGTCGTGTCAAATAAAAGACTATAAAAACAGAAGCCCATGGATAGAAAATACTACATCTTGGCTTCGTACCGATTAATTACAACAAAAAAGACTACAAGTTAAGGTGGACCATGACATATTGTAATCCTATCCTTATACCGTTAGCAATTGAAGTTGTAGAGCCCATGGATGGACGCGCAATCTGTAAGGCTTTGGATTGGACATAACATTTTTAAGAAGCAAAGTCTGGCTGGAGACACAAGACTTAGGGCTTCCCGGGAGGCAACTCGAGCATTTATCATTTTTTTTATTTTTCTTTGTTTTCATTTTTTCAGGATTTTGGTAAGCATGCAAACTACTAATTTAATCTTGTTTGAATTTTCAGGTCGAAAAACACACACTGAAAGACCAGACAACCGTTCGAAAATCAAGCCAAAACTCCAGACGGCCATCCCAGATGATCAATAGAGACTGTGCACCTATGCAAGTTGAGACGGTCATCCAAAAAACAGTGAAAAAGTTGAGATGGTCGTCACAAAAATAGTGCAAAAAGTTGAGACGGTCGAACGAAAATCACCCCTTAAAAAAAGATTTTGTTTTTCTTCTGAAAATTAAAAAAAAAAATTGCTTGAAAGACGAATGATGGAGGAGTGCAACCCGGGGAGGACGTTTCCACTAATTCAGATTCTATCTTTAAAGTTCGTCCTAATTACATTGAGGACGGTGTAAATTTTAAGTTTTGGGGTGAAAAAACACTTTGTTTGTACTTTATATATTTTAGATGACATGCTTTAGGATTTTTTTTTTCTAAATATTGTTTGAGTTGAATGCATCGATGAATTGTGATGATGAAAGATGGTCAATGTTTAATAATGATTTTGCTTGCTTTGTTTTAACTATGATTGAATTTTGGTGAACTTTCGATTCAAAGTAATTTACGAGTGAGTCATTGTTGAGAATCATGAATTATGTCTTTCTTTCGTTGAAAATCTTATTTCTTAAACGCGGTATTAATTTATGCTATATCATACGATGTTCGATTTTAGAACTCACCTTAGGAATTTGCAGAGTGAAGTAGTGAGTCGTTGAGTGATTTGGGCCTTCTTTGAACTGTTTGAGCCTTTCAAGCCTACCTTTAACATATTTATCACTAGAACTTTGATTGCGCCTTGAAGAAACAATTTTCTTTGTTTTATGAGGTTTCTTGATATATTCTCTCCTTGGAGTTTGGTTTAAAAATTTGTTAGGTTTTTCTTCTTCTCGCAAAAAAAACAAAAAAAAAAAAAAGTTATAAGGGAAAATAGGACATGCGCAAATATTCAAATAAAAGCTCGAACTATACCTCAAGAAAAAAAGTGAAGACTTTTGAACTCTTGAGAATCGAGTAGAGTAATAAATCCTTAGAGGTGAATAAACTATTAAAAGAAAATCTTCAAATCTCGGCGAAAACACCTCGATGCAAGAAAAATAAAATATAAGCATCTTGCTTAGTGCAACTCTTTATTCAATAATTAGAAGATCGAAAGGAGAAAAGTAGCCACTTATACATATTTCCTACTTTGCACCAAAGAGCCGAGCAATTGAAATTCAAAAAGTCCCAATGATCCCAATAGCTCAATTATTCGATACTAGAGAAGTAGAGAAATTCGGTGAGTCTTAGGTGTCTAACATTATTATATAAGTATTAATTTTTTTTTTCTATTTTTAGATTACAAATATTGGATGCTTGAAGCGATTATATGATTTTTGGTTCTTGGCAATGGTAAGCAATTAAGTGTCTCTGAAATCTAACCTTATGAATTTTCTAGAAGTGTCATGACAATTGCAAGTTCTGAAAACGTGAAGTTGACCATATTAATCTATGTGATCTGATGCATTTATTGATTTGTTGCTTTGCAAGTTGCTAGATATTGCTTGAGGAACAACAAAAGTTCAAGTTTGGGGGTGTGTTGAGTGTAGATTTTAAACTCAATACGTTTACTTTACGTGGATCTTTTATTTATATTTAATTTTATTTGTGCTTTAATTGATAGATTTTGTGTTTTATAGGTGAAATACGAGAATTAGGTGACTCTGAAAGAAAAATGAGCAAAAAGAAAAGAAATAAGTTGCAATTAAAGAAATAAAATTGAATTGGAAAAAGGAATCACGCATCAACTTTGGCAGTGTCCACAATTTCGACCATATCTTCCTCACCTAACTCCAAATCACTTGATTCTAGCGGCATTGGAAAGATAACTTAAAGGGCTACAATTTGTTTCTCATGCAACATTCCAAAATTCGGACTCCGACATGGTCTAAATCGGATTCAAAACCGAACGAAGTTCGGACAGCCGTCCTAATTTTTTACTAAAATCTGGGACGGTCATTCTGTGATGCAAAAGTGGACAGTAAACTACAAAAATTGAGACGGCCGTCCCAAAATGACCTGAAATATCAATGACCGTCCGAGACCCCGATTCTACACAATTTGGAAGTTTTAATTGCACAAGGAAGCTCTTTCATTTTGATCAAGTTTTAACCACTATATAAACACAATTCAATAGGATCCAAGCACGAAAATTTACACCACAAAACGCGAAGAACGAAGATGAAGACTCAAGCATAGTTTTTCTTATTTCTTTTTTATGAATTCTATTTTGTTTATCATAAGAATTACGAGATGCAAAGCTTTTAGTTTCTGGGATTTTATTCGAACCCTACAGGGGATATGTGAACCCAATTCTATGATTTTATGCGAGTTGTAATTTCAAATTTCTTCTTCTACTTGTTTTATTAAGTGCATGAAACTGACCACTTTATGTGATGTGATCCCAATCACATCAAGCAATCAACAATTTCAAAGGTTTTCGATTCGGATTTTAAATTGGTTCAGATCAGATTTGAGAGGCTTTTACCACAAATATATCAATCTTGGAATGTTCTAATTGATGCAATCACATATTTTAAGACTTTGGAAGGTCCAAGATTTACACAATAAAACATGCACACGTTTTTAGGAGTTTGGAGGGCTCTTTATTAATGCATTTCAGCCTTGGTACAAGACAATGATTTAAAAGCTTTCCTATTTTAGATTCAATAAATATTAATTAGATTGGTTGATTGTGGCTGATTAGATTAGTTGAATAATGATTTCATGATCTTAGTTTATTTTCATAGATTAGAGAGCATTGAATCCTATATAAAGGGATCAACTTATATGAATAAACACACAACAATGTATTGAAATCATTTTGAATAAGAGTGTGTGTCGTCCGTTCTTCAAAAACCATTTTTTTTACAACACAAGAACAGAAAATAAAAACGTAAAGACTATTATTGATTTTTTTTACCCAACAACTCGAATCGTGAAAAACATAGTTCAATTCTAACTCACCACCCAAACCTCAGACTATTATACCCCTCACAATAGTGTGCTCATGCGTAGTCGGGGAAAAGATTCGAAAGGATCTTAAAACAAGTTGCAGAACGCAGTTGGAAGGTTCATCTATTAATTGCCGGTTATGCACCACTTCAATTTTATAATCAACTAGCAAGTCTACTAATTCATTAACTGCTCTGCTTCAATAGAATCCGTAAATGCAACTTACATTCGATCCTATATGAAATGCATGTGACAAACATAACACCAATATGAAAATTGAAATACACAAATGAAACTAAATTATATGATATGCATGCAAAGACCAAAAAGAAAATAAGCTAAACTCACCCTCAAACTTAAATCATGCATTGCCCTCAATGCGAAAAATAAAAGATATGAGAAAGAAATACGCCCTGAACAGTCGTGCCGCAGATTAATCAGTGTTCTATGCTTGCAAAAGTGTTTTTTGGTTGCACGGGGTGCCGTGGATTAGCACCGAGGGCGACTTGCCGGGGTTGTCTAGACTTTCCAACTTTTTACTCTTCTTTCCTTGGGGACGAGATACCAGCAAAAATTAAGAAAAATGGATGAAATTTAGCTTTAAACCAAAAAAACAAAATGATAAAAACAAAGAAAATAAATGATGAGAAATAAATAATGGGTTG